AGAGTTACGCCGACACGTCCCCCTTTCCCTACGGAGCACTTCAGGCGAGACACAGATCGCTTGGGTGAATGAAAATATGGATTGATTGATCAGTCAGAACCTGCTAAGCTTGTACGAGTTATCCGGGTTCTCACGTTCACGCAAGCCAGTGGGCATGCATCAGAACAAACCAACGACTTATTACACAGCACTTGCAAGTAAATGCAAGCCTATGCCACACGTAACGCAACACAGTTGATTCGACGACTTGCGCGCAGGTGAGCCTAGACGCCGACGACCACCGACCTTCGCATCTAGCACGGTATAGGTTTGATAGAGCTGATCTTCAACAATTCGACCGCGACAGAACGTCCTTACATCCAATACTCGCGTGGGATTAGGCACGTTACCAGGACGGACATCGATCCAAACACACTTTAAGCTAAATGCTTCAGACGCTAAGCAACTGCAATTGAGGGGGCCCCCCGCCCCTGTATTAAAACAGAAAACTGAATTTAGAAGGAAGACTTTATTTTACACCAGACAAATACACTTATTTGGCCCTGGAGGTCACCGCGAGCGGGCTACCCAACCTCAACCTTCGATAAGGGAGGAGGTAGGATTTTCCGAGGCTCTGACCGGCAAAGGTGTTTACTCACCCCCCTCCGAACTCGCTACTTAACCAGTAACCAAAAAAAAATGATTCACGTATTTATCGAAGCTTATCACGTTCTCCCCCTGCTTTCATCTTCCAACAAGTTCTCCGGCCAGTCTTGTCCGATCCTGCCAGCTAACAAAACAAACGAAAACCTTACAGGTGAGGATGTAGCGGATATCAAGAACTGGTTCATGACTTGCTTAGTTCACTTACTTCACCCACATCGGACTTACTTATCGCTAGGATAACCGTGCGATGCCTAAAAGGTTAGGAGCCTTCCACAACCCCACTAATGCATGCGAGACCCAAGATCGAAGGAGATAAGAAAGACAGAGGCATGACTTACTCTATTAAAACTTACTTATGTACAAGGCAATATAAATGGGTTTTACGAATCAAAAAATATGACCTGAAAACAACGGGTAACAATCCGCGGATTTACTTCGGACGCCATCCAGCCGGAGAAGGATCCTAGACCGGGGAAGTAAGCAGTCAGTACAAACAACTGAACCCGTAGGGCTAACTAAATTAACTAAAAAGCATGCAAAGGAACTAGACATTGGCTTAAAAATCATTCACCGACTAATTCTTTGTGATCTTATGATCAGTTCCGTCCCTGAAGGATCGCGCGCGGTCTGAATTTTTTTAGAGCTTCACGGAACAATGAGAAACTAGCTGACGCGAAAGAAACCTGATAGCGCTGGCTATCATCGAATGTAAATATGATTTGTTTTACTTTATAAAAAGTACCCATCTAATAATCGAGATATTAGCGTGCGAGAGAATCGCTTTCTGAAATTCGATAGCTTACATATTAAGGAAATGGAGACCTCGACTACTGCTTCATTCAGCAATAACATCGCCCGACTAGGACGTCAACCTTAGAAGACTCCCAACTGAATCGGACTACAGACGCAAATTTTTGAACAATTTTCTCACATTTTATCTATTTACTGAGTTACCACTTGTGACTTTGATTAATTTTTCTCTCTGGCGTAACATCTGCGTAGAAACCTAAGTCAGCTTTCACTCACATTTTGCAGTGCACTTATTACCAATCATGAGCCAGCTCAATACACACTGCTCCTTACAGCTATCGTTGGACCACAACAGATGTGGGCAAAATTAGAGTCCATCCAATGTAAGATATGGTATGTAATGTCACCACTGCAAAGCCTAGTGGCGCGATAAATGTACGGCTTCACTAGACGACCGGATTAGCCAATCATCCAGCTCTTCTGACCGGTTTGTTTCGCTAGCCGCCTCCGCCACAAGGGTGCTGTGCACTCCGTCACTAAAAATAGAGCTAGCAAAAAACCACTACCAAAGCTCCACCACTGAGCCGGAGGGACCCATGTGGACGATCCCTTTTAATTGGGATACTTTACACAAATTTGGTGTTTCTTTCTAGAGCTCTCGAGAATGCAAATACAGAGAACACAATGGCCTGGGAGAAAGTTGGCATTGAAATTTCTTTCACGAACGTGTATCCAGTGCCATCCTCCTCGGGTCCACTGGCTGCGAAAACATCATCATGTGGCAATCAAGACCGCCACATCATCTGTTGTGGATAGACGTATGAGGCGGAGCAGCCTGATCATTTTAGGGTCATTCTCCAGAAAAATCATAACAACAAACGTGGCGCAGTCGCTCCTTGGCGGTGTCCTCGCGAAGCCTGAACACGGATCGCTTCACGGAGAGTAGCTGCTCAAAAAGGGAAGCAAGCAAATCTTTGGACTTCTAGACTTCTTTTCCACCCTATCTGGGGTACAGAAAATCTTGGATCGAACTGCCAGCGTTCAAGAGGTCTCCCCGACATTTAGGCGTACATCAGAGGATCGCCCTCTAGAGGCGTGAAAGCTGTGGTCCATCAGTTCCATGGAGGGGCACGAAACATGCTCTCGCGTGGTGGCGGTTCAAACGACCCAAAACTTATTGCCGAACCGGTGGTAGTCACGTCCCTTCCTGAAGTCACACGCCGCCAGCCACGATTACTGCCTGCATTTTCTACTCAACAACCGCAGGCCCCTGGACTACCAAAAGCACTGATATTCGGAAAGTAGCAAGCGTTGACGAAGCGTTCAAATTATGTACAACTATCATCGCTCACTATCGTATCGGACAACAAAGACACAACAGTGAACTCCACACCCAAGTCACAAACCCTACACTCGGCGTTCTCAGATATGCGGAGACAAGCGGCGACACCTGCCGGCAAATCAGCCGCAAACATTGACCTCGGCATCTGGGAATGCTGCAAGAACCATGCAGCCACAGAGGATGCGAAACTGCCAGTCTCCAGGTCCACTCCATCAAAAGTGGCCACACCGACTGTGAACACAGTTGTCATCCCTGATGCTAACAAAAAAGCCAGAAGCTCAACAACAGGGGACCGGCGAACCTTCAGTACATCCGGTTGCCCGTTAATCATGGTAGAGTCTACGCAAACACGAAAGCATAACCACTGCAGTCAAACAAACAGCATAAACTTTGCCAGGCCAGAAAGCTGCTGGCTAGCCCCAGGGTGCAGTCATCTGCGAATACGGAATTTATGGGAATGCCACCAAAGAGGCGACTTCTTGGCGCTGGAACCCAGCACACGGGGTTTCAAAAAACACATCAACGAGCAAACCGCGTCAAATTACCTAAGAAACCAAACAGATGCATGAATGCCCTATATTCAGCAAATCTAGTCGTCTAAAAGGCAAGCTGTGAGTAGTAGTAACCAAAACTTTGGCCCACGAGGAGAAAAGCTTTGTTCCCCCAAATGTGCAAGTCCCGCACGAACCAGACTCCCACGGGACGAAAACACCCGGAACCATCAATGCAGTAAGCAGACATATTGCGCAGAGGCCCTTACAGAACACTGGACTTAAACATGGTGTGTAGCCATTGATTCTGCCAACCTCTCTGTTGGCACACGTCTCGTCTCCTCATCTTGGGAGACAGCAGAGACAGGATTGAGACGTTCCTCCGCAAACTGCTTCAGATTTTTCAACGAACAACCCAATCTTAAAAAATCAGCTTGTCTTGAACAGCCGTCCTTAATCGTGCCTACAGAAACCCCGATCAAACCAGTCTTCTCTGACGCGGAGATCTTGATGGAC